TGATGTATTTGAAGGCGGTGAATATTTTGAAGGCGGTGAATAATTTTTTGGAGGGCGAGGACTATTATTATCTTGAGATGGGGAATAGCTTTTTGGAGGACGTGGATCATTTGATGTATATGCTTTGTTTGAAGTTGGTGAATAATTTTTTGGAGGATGCGGATCGTTTGACGTATTTTCAATGTTTTGAGGTGGAATATAACTTTTTGGAGGACGAGGATCGTTTGGAGTATATGTTTTATTTAGAGTAGGTGAATAATTCTTTGGAGGTTGAGGGCCATTTGGAGAATAATTTTTTTGAGAACGTGAATCATTTGACGTTTGAGATGCAGTTTCAATGTTTTGAGGTGATGTATAACTTTTTGGAGGACGAGGATCGTTTGATGTGTATGCTGGTGAATAATTGTTCGGAGGATATGGATCATTTGATGTATATGTTGCGTTTTGGGATTGGGAATAATTAGAATAATTGTTTGGAGGCTGAGGACCGTTTGATGTGTATGCAGAATGTGAATATGGTTGTGTTTGATTTAAATTATATGATGGTGGAATAGGATAATTATAAGAGGGATCTGATGGTAGTTCGTGACCATAAGACATCGGAGTTGGCATCTGGGAATTATATAAAGGTGCCTGCATTTGCAAATTATAATTTTGATTTTGATAATTTGAATAATCTGGATTATATTGGTGTTGCGTGTTATATTGTGGTTGCATTTCTTGCTGGCCAAAATTTGTAACTAAAGGTTCCGCAACGACATGCTGTATGTTTTCTTGATACGGCTGTTTTCCAGACGACGGTGGATGCACTTCTAAAGGTGGTGTGGAATATTTAGGTGAAGTTCTGCTGTAATCTTGTAGAGGTTCTGGCTTCTGTGAATACCCTAAATTTCTTCCATTATTATTTAATGGCCTGTTGTCGATTGGTGGATACCTATTGTTTTCATAAATATCTTGCGCTCGCTGGAATTGCTGCTCTTGAAAGTTATTGCCGTTATTTCCAAAGTCATTATATCCGTTATTATTATATTCACCAGCATTATAGTCGTTATTGTTATTGTTAAAAGTGTAAGGATATGCCATTTTTTTCTTGCACTCTAAGAGTCATTATCGTTAGAGTATAAAAGTTTATTGTAATTCTAACCAAATTGTAGAATGTTATACTAATAATGGAAATCAAATAAATTTAGCGTTTAATGCATGTAATACAAATATTTATTATAGGTATAAATTTAGCGTTACTTATCATAGATTCGAATTAATACAGCAATATCGACATTGAATTTTGTATACGTACGTACATACTCTGGCTTTATCAGATTCGCATCATTATGGATTACATACGTACGTACGTACGTTATAAAAGGGTTATCCCATTATAGTTGATTCGGTTCATTTTTATTATTTTTCTATATAGTTTAATGATAAAAATTTCTAAATAGTCATTTTAATAAAATACTCGAATATGCAAATTTATTCGACTGTAAAATCTTAAACAGACCCAGCAGGCAGACTTTTTAAGCACACCCTCCCTAAATGTACACTCT